ATTTCAGAGGAGTGAGTGGGCTACAACGTGTGGCCCAGTTCTCTGAGCAAGGATAAGCATGACTCAAACGTTCATAGTCTCAGCCAGTGAGCCCCTAAAGAACTTGCCACATTTTTTACTCCATTTTACCCACTTGAATATGACTGGATAGCCAGGTGCCCTGTGAGATGCTAGGATGGGAAAGACCTTTCTCATCTTTGGCTGTCTACATCAAACTCCAACATCCCTTCTTCCTTCCCCTCCCCTGCCCTCCCCTCTCCACATCCTCTGTCTCTGTTTTAAGATAATAGAATCAAAAACAGAACACCAAACAACTGTAAAAGCAGACTTTTGCTTCTCCTCTTGATTATGTCCCAAAAAGGAGAGGAAGGTTGTCTATTAATGCATACTTTCCAAACCTCTCTGACTCTGCTTTTACAGCTAAAAAAAAAAACAAAAAACAAAAAACAAACAAACAAACAACAACAACAACAAAAAAACAAAACCCAAAGGAATAGAAGCCTAGGATTGGGGAATTGAAGGAGTCTTAGTGGTCATGAAGCCCATGGGATGTGAATAGTGCCCAGTTGCACACAATATTCTTTTTGGCTAATTCTGTCCTCAATGCTACTCCCCTTCTCCTTTCCCCTGCCCAAATATATATGAAACCTCCCCAATAGTTCTTTATCATTAGCCTAGAGGAGAAGAATATAATAAGATCTAGATTCTATTAGGAGATTTAAAGAAATTCTTTTAAATGATCAAAACTAAAGTATGTAAAATTAAGTGAATGCATAGCTCTAAGAAGTTTACGCCATCTTTATTTTTGGAGTAATATGAGGATTTTAATTATAAATTATGGAAAAAAGATACACTGAGCTAGGTGAATTCTTTAAAGTTTGATAAAGGCAGCTACAGTAATATGTAGGGCAGCAGTTTAAAAAATATTTTTAGTAGTGAAGGCTCCTATGTTCAGAAAAAGGATCTAAGGTTTTCCACATATTTGCATAGCATTATTTCCCCATCTCAATGCTTAGTTTAGCCATCTTTATTCTTATCCGATTCCATTCAAGAACAAGTTGGAAATGCTGAAAATAAATGATATGCACTATCTCAGAGAATGCCCATTGTATTTAAAACTATATAAAACACTGAGGTAGTTATAAAAGAATTCAGAGCAAAGTCAACTTTGTGCAATAATTTCCTTGCAGTCAGTTTACAGTGAGCATTTTTTTCACTTTGATTTAGCTCAAGAAAAATAACCTGAAGAGCAACTGGAATTTACATACATTCATTCACTTTTACATACATTTACATACATGCATTCACTTTCTCCCTTTCTCATGAAGCAGAATCAGCTCGTTATTTTGAAGGGAAGCTACTGACTTTCCACATATATTTGATGTTTGCTAAATTTATGTGGATCTACCTTAGGTGAGGGAGGAGAGGGAAAAGATGGAATTTTCATGGAAAGCTGCTACTAAGATGTAATGCCAAATCTTTCTGCCAAGATTTTAAGGTTAAGGTGCTGAATATATCTAGAAGGAAATAAAAATATCACACAGACACCTGAGTATTTGAATATTTCTAAGAAAAACACCACATAGATGTATTATTTATACTTTACAGACATCTGGGTATTCAAAAATTTCTAAGTGACCACTGTTTTCATTCATGTCCTCAGTAATGCTATTTACTAAATATTTTTGACTCTTTTCCTCTAGGCACAAGACAGATTATATTTTTATCCATTCCCTTTATGTTAGCATGCCCATGTGATTTGCTTTGGTGAGTGAATCATGAGAAGATGATATCTATGTCACATCTGGGAGCAAGCTTTAAGAGCTTCTGTGCAATTTGTCACAACCTTTTTCTTCTGCTTTGGCAGCCATCTCCAGATGCACAGGTTCTGTTACCCTCATTCCTAGAGGAATGGCACATGGAATGGAAGTTGTCCCCTCTTGCCCAGTTTTTAACCTGCATGAATATGTACAATACATGAGAAATAGCCTGTGTTTTAAGGCATTAAGATTTGCAGATATTGTTACAGCAGTATGAACTAGCCTCATCTGTGAAAACATGTTTTTTTTTCCATATATGTAGGGTGTTTATGAACAATTATGAGAAATCCACATCTTAATATGTGTTGTTTTTCGTGTCTGTTTTTCCTAGCTTCTTAGTCCTATTTTTGATAGTAATGTGACTTCAAATATTTGGAAACAAAATCCTACAGAAGTTTGCATAAATACATTTGGATTTTATTGTGTATTTTTAATATTTACCTCATGCACATGTTATTTTGTATTTCATTAATGTATGTAATAGCAATTGGTAACATTGGATCTATCTTCCCTATGTTACTACGTCACTTTCCCTAAAAGGAAAATGAGACATGTATATAATTAAGCTTGCTTTATTCTATGGTACACATTCTACAAATACATTTAGTGGGACTCAATAAATCTTTGGTGAAAGGATGGAGATGATGGGCAGAATGATAATTCTAATGATGATGCTGATGATATTCCAAGGAGCAGTCATGGAAGTGCAGAACAATTTAATTTGTGAAAGTAATTTACTGCCTGTAAGTTCTGATATCTGAAAATCAGATGTCAAAGTACACAGTTAATGACATTCTAGCTTTTAAAACTGTATAGAAATACTAACTTATGAGATGATGTGAGAATTAACAAAGGACATTGTGTTATTAGGGGAAAATAGTCAATGTTCCCATTTATAATTTCCTAAGTATCTTCCTCATCAAGAATTCTTTTGAGGAAGTATATTTTAGTTTTTGCAATAAAACCTTTGTCAATACACATTTTATTGTCTTTCTATTCCTACAATATAATTTTATTACTGTTTTCTGACATCAGAAAGCAGGTCTTGAAGTAAAAATATTGAATGTCAGGAAAGGTCTAAGGATGTTATACCTACTTCCTGATAATCAAGTGATAAGTTTGACAGCCTTAGTCCTATGAGCTTTGTAAATGTTTTCATATTCCCTAAAATAGTGCTCAAATAATGTAAAGTAGTTTGTTCTTCTAAAACTACAGTGTTAGAGTGACATTTCATTACTAATATTAAATCCTAACTAGAGGGTAGCCATTTGGTGCAGTGGTTAAGACATCACTAATACATCCACATCCCATATTGTTGGAGTGCCTGGGCTCAAGTCTCAGCTCTGATTCTAGCTTCTGGTGCTCCTATAAGATGCCTGTGCTCTAAATCACAACAAAACATGCTGCGTCAGAACACTGTCCCTACATTAGTTCTTTTACTGAGCACTGATGAAGGATATGCAAGGTTTCACTAAAGAGGTGTAAACTGAAATTAGGCATTTTATGAAATCTTACTTCACTGTGGTCTAATCAATTTAATTTTTAAAGATTTATTTATTTATTTGAAAGGCAGAGTTAGAGAGGCAGAAGCAGATAGAGAGAGAGGTAGATCTTCCATCCACTGGTTCACTCCCCAGATGGCCACAGTACCCAGAGCTGGGCTAATCCAGAGCCAGGAGCCCGGAGCCAGGAGCTGCTTCTGGGTCTCCAGTGCAGGTGCAGGGGCCCAGGCACTTGATCCATCTTCCAAAGCTTTCCCAGGCCATTAGCAGGGAACTGGATCAGAAGTGGAGCAGCTGGCACATAAACTGGTGCCTAAATGGGATGCTGGCACTACAGGTGGAAGCTTTAACTGCTATGCCACAGTGCCGGCCCCATTCTGAATTAATTTTAGAGCTGTTTATTTTACCACCATGTCTATAGAGGATAACTAAAAAACTTTCTTCTGAAAGTAAGTTGGGGCCGGCACCGCAGCTCACTAGGCTAATCCTCCGCCTTGCGGCGCCGGCACACAGGGTTCTAGTCCTGGTCAGGGCGCCGGATTCTGTCCCGGTTGCCCCTCTTCCAGGCCAGCTCTCTGCTGTGGCCAGGGAGTGCAGTGGAGGATGGCCCAAGTACTTGGGCCCTGCACCCCATGGGAGACCAGGAGAGGCACCTGGCTCTTGGCTTGGAATCAGTGCGGTGCGCCAGCCGCGGCGGCCATTGGAGGGTGAACCAACGGCAAAGGAAGACCTTTCTTCTGTCTCTCTCTCTCTCTCACTGTCCACTCTGCCTGTCAAAAAAAAAAAAAAAAAAAAAAAAAAGAAAGTAAGTAAGTTAGGTATAACCTTTAAATACATATTAACTTGAGAGGTAGAGAAAGTAAGAGAAAGATCAAGAGAGCATACAAATAAGCTCCCACATTGGCTGGAGATGGCACAGGCTGAAGCTGGGAGCTGGGAACTCAATCTGGATCTCATAACCTGGAGAAAGTATAAAAAGTATATTTAACAACAGCAATGACCTATTTGAAAAAATGGTGACAATGGAATTAGAACAGGGTCTGGAATGATCCTTACTGTGTCTGGTAACTAATTTTACATGTGTTTGGACCCCAATTTCTCAGCTCTCAAATGTAAATTCCATTAGGATATTTGTAAAGACAAAAAATGAGATAATGTATGTAAAGTCATTGACACAATTAATGGTATAGAGTATGAATTCAAGAAATCTTTATTTATTATAATGATTTGCAAATATGTAAGAACAGGCCTGAAAGCAAACTACGAATTTCTCTGAAAATGTGGAACAATTGGGAACATAGAAAAATTGGAAAAGAAAATGCTTTCTAAGGAAGGATCCTTCAAAGTTTGAAGGAGTTACAAGTCTGGCTATGGACAAGGTCATTGTCTGGAAGTTATCTAGGCAAAGTACTATTTTGTGGGAGATAATTGTTTTCTATTCTGATTTCGCTAATTTCAATGATCATCCATGGTGATAATGAACAGCCCTGGAGTGAGATGTCAGTATTTGATTGTGGCTGTTTGCTAACTCTACTGTGATTATACTCAGTTGTTTAATTGCTTAATTTATTGATGTTTTCCTGACATGTTTTTCAGCATGTTTGTGATTGCAGATGACTAATTATTTCTCTTCTGACTCATTATCATATGTTTGCATTTGATTTGTATGACACTGCAGGTGGAAACAATAGGCGACGCCTACTGTGTTGCAGCAGGACTTCACAGGAAAAGCCTCTGCCATGCCAAACCCATTGCTCTGATGGCCTTGAAAATGATGGAGCTTTCAGAAGAGGTGCTGACACCTGACGGGAGACCAATTCAGGTAACCCTCTGAAAAATATTGTTGGAATAGGAAATGCACCTTTTACTTGAGGGAGCAAGAAATTTCCCTTTGAATTCTACTGACTGTAATTTATAGATCTAGTCAAGGTGAGAGTTTAAGGAAGGAGACAAAAAATGATTTGAGGTAATTCATAAATCTAGGAAAAGAAGAAAAAGCATATGGTCCAGAATAGGAACTGAAAGTAGATCATTGTAAAAATTAAGAGAATGAGTAAGAGAGGAAAGTGGAGGAAGAGTGGGAGCGTGGGCAAGCAGGAGGGTAAGATGAGAAGTATCACTATGTTCCTAAATCTGTATATATGAAATACATGAAATTTATTTACCTTAAATAAAATTTAAAAAAATGCATGTGGAAGGAAAATTACCATGAAAAGAAAAAAATAACTAAAGGGCTATACCAAGGAAGAACTACTGGCAGTGATTAGTCACCAAATCCAAGCAAGGATGAGGATGACAGGCAGAGTCTGAGAGATAATGCAAGAAGTAAAAGAGAATCCATAATATGAAGGCCCTGGACAACTTGCTGCAAGTAGTAGGCATACAGGTGGTGTACAGGTGTTCCTTATGAGGCTTCAGCTCTCAGAGTGACTTCTGTAGTTTTTGGTGTAGCATAGCTTGAAAATGGAGCTCACTGGCGCCGCGACTCACTAGGCTAATCCTCCGCCTTGCAGCGCCGGCACACCAGGTTCTAGTCCCGGTCGGGGTGCCGGATTCTGTCCCGGTTGCCCCTCTTCCAGGCCAGCTCTCTGCTGTGGCCAGGGAGTGCAGTGGAGGATGGCCCAAGTGCTTGGGCCCTGCACCCCATGGGAGACCAGGAGAAGCACCTGGCTCCTGTCATCGGATCAGCGAGGTGCACTGGCTGCAGCTGTCTTTCTCTCTCACTATCCACTCTGCCTGTCAAAAAAAAAAAAGAAAAAGAAAAGAAAATGGAGCTCACTAACTGAGGAAAATTTATCAACAGTAGAAAATCTAGCTCCTGGTGTGTTGTATCCTCTTTGGTATTTTGTATTTGGTATTTTGTATTCCTGTCTAGGAATGAATGGGACCATCTAGCTGTATTTCTACGAGATCCCAGTGATGGATTGCAGATGTGTGCTTACTGTGAATCCAAGTGAACCAGAAATTTTATATCTGGAGAAGTGTACTTGAGTTTAGCATAGCCCTTTTATAATAGATCCATAACTATGGATTGAAAATATACAGGAAATAAAAGGCTCATATTGTGAATGCATTTCTAGTTCTGGAATTATGTAAAATTAGATTACCTGAACCTTCTGATTAAAACCATTAAAATATTGTATTAAATATTTAAAATATTTCCCAAAAACTATTAATCAAGTCATTGAACTCATAGGAAAGGAAGAAATATGCCAATTATACTATGTGTATAGGCTGAAAAGAAAAAGTGAATTTAACTTAAGTGCTCTGTCATTAGCAATGAAAGGAAGAAACTAAGGAATACTATTCTTGCCTAGAGGATGGCAAATTCAAACCTATCCTCAAAGAATTCCCACAAAGGGGCTGGAGTTGTGGTGTAGCAGGTTAAACTTCTGTCCCATATGAGTATCGGTTGGGTCACGGCTGTTCTAAATCTGGTCCAGCTCCCTGCTAATGGCCTGGGTAGCAGTGGATGGCCCAAGTGCTTAGGCTCCTGCACCCACATGGGAGACCTGGAAGAAGCGCCTGGATCCTGGCTTTGGCTTGGTCCAACCCTGGCCATTGTAGCCATTTGGGAAGAAACAGCAGATGGAAGTCAGTCTTTCTCTCTTTCTCTCTTTCTCTTTGTCTCTCCCTCCCTCCCTTCCATCCCTTCCCTGTCTCTCTCCCCTTCTTGTCTTTCCCACTCTCCCTCTCTTAGTAACTCTGCCTTTGAAATAAATCTTAAAAAAAAAAAAAAGAATTCCACAGATAAAATGTTGTGAAAAATGAGTGGCTAACACTAAAATCACACCAAAATTTGCTCACACACATGAAGGAAAACAAAATACTATTGTTAATAATCAGTAGAAACCTCAGACGAGAAAAACAGATCTGGAGTGTTGTCAGCAAAAATGTCAAAGGATAAAGTGACAATGTTTCATATAATTAAAGAGAAGCTGGAAAATGTTAGAAGTAGGTCTGAAAACAAACCAGACAATTTCTAACAAATAACAAAATAAAAGGCAACTCAGTGGATACATTTAAAAGTAGAGTAGAAACAAATGAAACACGAATTACTACACTGAAAGCTAGAAGTGAAGATGTCAGCCACAATTAGATCCAGAGGAACATTCAGGTAAGATAGGGTAAAACACATAGTACACATGGAGAGGAGTGGGAAGAGGTGAAATAAACTCAGTTTGGGCTTCGAAATGAAGATAAGAGATAGAAAAAAGAGAATTTTTCCTCCAGAACTGTTGAAAAGCATCAATCAATTATCAGACTCAGTAATTCTAAAGAATTCCACAAAAGATAATCCATAGGAATCTAAAACAAAATAATCTTAATGCGATTTCAGTGCATGAGAGTAAAATACTTGATAAAGCACAAACTGTCATTGATCATTGGGGAGTGGATGAACTATTAAATACCTGGGTTGGGAAGAAATCAGCTGTTCTTGTGGAAAATAAATTGAAATTGATTCTCTATGAATCTCAACACAAGTCAATTCCAAGTGGTTTAGTGTGAAAAGGCAAATCATGAAATTAGATTTATAATTAGGAAATTTTGAATTAAAGTAGGGAAGATTTGTTTGTGTGTGTATGTGAGCTAGTTAGATTAAAAAAATCCAATTATAAGGAAATAAGTACAAAATTTATTATGCTAAAGTTACACCCTTCCTATTTATCAGAGAGTAAAAAAAAAAAAAACAACAACAACAACAACAACAAACCACGGGCAGATACTAAGGCATAGTGGGTTTAGCCTCCACCTGCAGCGCCAGATCCCATGTGGGCATTGGATCAAGTCCTGGCTGCTCCTCTTCTGGTCCTGCTCTCTGTTAGTGGCCTGGGAAAGCAGTTGAAGATGGTTCACGTGCTTGAGCCTCTGCACCTGTATGGGAGACCTGGAGGAAGCTACTGACGTTTTAGCCACTTGGGGAGTGAACCAGCGGATGGACGGCCTTTCTCTCTTTCTCTCCCTTTCTCTGTCTATAACTCTGCCTCTCAAAGTAAATACATTAAATCTTAAAAAAAATAACTACAAAGTAGAAGAATATTTTTGCAGCATATATAACCAATGAAATTACCTTTGGCTAGCCCTATTAGTAATCAGATAAATATAAATTAATGACACTGTGATATAGACTTCCTACCAGTTCGATACAATTTTTAAAGCCTGACAATGCCACTGTTGGTGAGCATTTTGCATAGTGGTAAGACTCACTTTCAGCTGGTAGAAATCTGTGTACAAGTTAACTTGACACTGGTAAAGTATAACATATGCATATCCTAACAACCCAGCAATATCTGTCCTACATGTTTTCCCCAGGAAGACTTACATAAAATTATTCACAGCAGTACTGGAACTTTTCTGAAAGTATCAAACTGTACATCAAATATCCACCAACAATAGAGTGGATAAACCATGATATATTTATATGTTGGTCTACCAAACATTTGAGAAAAGGCATGACATCAGCCATTGACATCAACATGGATAAATGTAAAAAACATTTTGGCCAAAAGAAGCGACTCTTGAGAGAATTGTATAGAATTATTATTTTTAGAGTTCAAAAACTGTCAATTTTTTTAAAATGTCATTTAGGAATACCTACATTGATGGATAAAGTACAAAAAAAGAAAGGGAATGATCAACACAAAATTCAAGATAGTGCTTTCTTCCAAGAGAAATAATAGGGAAAATAAACATAGCACAAAATTGTTCTTTTTATTATTGTTCTTTAATGTGCACATGTGTTTCTATTTGACAATTTAAGACAGTGGAAAGAGTTTTTTATCTGCTACCAGTGGTGAGAATAGGACAGTAAGGAGCATTAAAAAAGAAAAAAAATACATAATTTAGTTCTCTCAGGATATAATTATTGAGTTATTCCATTAGATGAATAGCATTTTTACCCCTGCCAGGGAAATGAACAAAAGGGATACTGTCTCAGATCTGCTGAAAACTGAAAATCTATGCAGTCCAAACTGAACTCATATTTATTCATAAAATTTCAAGGCTACTAGCCGTCTTATCATTTGGGATTGTTTCTCTGTATTGAATTTTCTTTTACAGGAGATACAATGTTCATATTGATCTCAGCATTGTCACCGTAAACTTAAATTACGAGAGATCAAGACCAGGTGATAGTATTATACAGTGTGCTCATCTGTATCTTCATTTGTGGGATAAATCATTAGATCTGCCTCATGATTCAGATCATCTGATTATATCAGAAGAGGGAATGCCCATAAAGATTTAAGAAGAATGCAGGAGGAGAATTCAGAATAACCAACCACTTTAATAATTTTAGCTTCATTACTAATTTATAGTATTTGCATGGCTTAGGATATTTTTGGCATATTGATTTGATTTTGAATTGCCTTCCAGCTTAGTGCCATGGGAACATTTCTAAATTTATTGAGGGAATCATTCATTATGAAATGCTTGGGTGTTGCAGTAGAGTTTATTTTCTTGTATTTTAAACAATAGATAATTGTGAAGTCAGATCATATTTACATTCTCTGTTCTTTGCACTGTATTTCACTAGAAAATAGCATAACTTTATGGTTTCTTCAGTCTTGTGACCCTAATTATACAAAAAATTGAGCACTTAAAATTAGTATTTTAGTTATAGGAGACTAACTTATGCTAATAATTTAACCTACCTTTGATAAAATTATCCAGACACTTGTTACAGTATGTGTTTTATTCTTTAAAAAAAAAGTGTTGATAGGGAAAATGTAGTAGATTTGAGGAATGACTAGAAAATGCCACTGAGGATATAACAGAAACACAAATAGCATGTTCATGACTTAAGGTTTTTGAAGAAAATTG